ATTTTTCACTCAATTTTATGTTTACAGTTATCTTTGCAGATGATCTTATGAAAACCCCTTTCTTAGATTATCTTTTCAATGTTGTTCTTGATAATGATTTGCCATGTTTGGTGCTTTTGTGATTCATGACTGAATTTGTAGAATTTTGATAACCTCTCTTTATGAATTATGACTTAGCAGTCATTGTAGGATAATTTCAAATACCTTGTCTTGTTTAATCATGAGATTTGATTCTAAAGCCTTTCAATCTAACATAATAAGTCTTCTAGTATTTGACATAAAGTTGCTTGCTTTAGTTTGATTTAGCTTTCACTCTTCCTCTTCGCACATGGATTATGCTCACAGGGCTTCTTTTAATGAATTGCTCATACAAATTCAATTAATTACAATAGCGATTTTGATGATGCTTATGGAGCGTATTGCTGGTGTGTTCATAGCCAAGTTTTCTGCTTCTGTAATTCTAACAGGGTTGAAGATGCTGTCATACGTTATTTGAATCGGAAGCCAGCTGCAGGAGGTGACGCTCCTGGAAGCACATGAATCACTGCCTTGGAGCTGTTGATGGGGCACCGGCTGTTACTAATCTTAATCATTTAGCAACTTAGGCCATTCCTTTCATGGAAGTAGCATTCCTCTGTTGTTGGCGTTGTAAGGGATATTGTAAGACAGGCAATTAATGTTCTGTAGCTTGGTTAGTTTAGGCGTATAATTATGCTCAATGAAAAGGAAAAGGTTAGCGACAAAGTTTTACTTTGCTCAATTTGTAATTTACATATGGCAGATGCTGCTTTTGAGTTTTGACTTTATGTTTCTTATGGCTCGTGTTATGGACATGCAAATGCAATGTTATGAATGTAGATTTGTTAAATTAAAACTGTAGTTTTGATATAGAAATCTTTGACTAGTTCTGTTGGGAGTTATACTGTTTGACATCCCGTTGCATTTTTCTCCCTGTTTTTTAGCAGTTGTTTCTTATGCCTGATTCCTGGATGTTATCAACATTAGATGTTCTTCTTGATGCTAGAATTCATGAGGCGGATGAGGTTGTAATTTACAGATGAAATTCTTGCTTAATGTATTAATGGAAATAGTGGTACAAAGCCTAAAAGTTACGCTTGTTTAAAAAGAATTTTACAGTTTAAATAATATTGAATTATAAAACATTAAGGTTGTGTTTGGGAACGTAAATTTGAATTTGATGAGTGTAATTGAAATACATGTATTTAAAATATATGTATTTTGAAATATATTGTTTGGATTGAATTAAAAAAAATAAATTTCAAATACATGTATTTTTAAATACATTGTTTGGATATTTTAAAATATTATGTATTTAAAATTAAATTTCTCTATTAAATTAAATCTTCTTCTAATTATTATTTAAATTTAATAAAATTAAAATTAACAATTTTAATCTTTCAAAATATTATTTAAATTATCTCAAGATAAACAAACTAGATAAAAGAAAAAAAAAAAAAGAAACAATGACCTTCACTAACATATCATTCATGTATTTAAAACAATGAAAGTTAGCAACTGAGAAGATCAACTAAAGAATGCATTTCTAGGTGCTGAGGAGAACAATGCAACATTTAAAACCATAGCAAAAGATATTCAAACTGAAGAGGTAAAAAGATATTCAAATTGAAGAGGTAAGTAACTTGTAAACTCAATCTTCCTTCCTTTTTTAGTGATCTACAACAGTTAATAAAGAAGATAACTTGTAAAAAAATCAAGCTAAACAGCTCATGTTTCTATCTTATATTAGGAATCAAGTGTAGCACTATCACAAGAGTAGAGCAGCATAGAGAAACAGCTAATGAAGTGTCTAATGAGCAGATTCCAAGAGAAGTAGATATGGCTGAAAGCAGTAGAAAACCAGCTTCAACTGGCACTTAAATTGCTCTACTAGAGAAGCTGGATAGAGTGGCAGAAACCTTTACGAAAGGTGAAGTAAGGGATCCGAAACTTGGAAATGCCAACAATGTAAAATCAGTTCAAACAAACTAACAAACCTTAAAACTGAAACCAAAAAAACAAAACCCAAATAAAATCTTTAGAAATAACCTTTATTACTTCTCATAATTCTCCTATGCAAGAACTCTGAACTCAACAATGTAAAATTAAAAAAGAAAAAAGTGTAAAAATACCCAGATAGAGAACTAAGCAAAAAGGAGGAAAGGAAGTGAAGAAATGAACCTCTCACCCATGTTTTCCTTCCCAAATTGGTTTTCTTTCAAGGGGAATACGGAAAGGCGAAAGTAGAATAGAAAAAAAAAAATCGCGACAAGAAGTAGTCAAGGCGGACGAGATTTTTTTTTGGTAAAAAACGAAATCAAGGGATTCTGACCCAAATACAGAATTAAATAGAGCTGATCTAGGAGGTAGTCATATGCAAATCAATAAAAATTTGAGGAAGGAAGAGGAATTACCTGAGGCGTTAATCTATCAAGAGAGATGATGAAAAGTCAAGTAGATGCGCGAGATCGAGAACCTACTATCAAGGAGAGGTTGAGTGGCCGACGATGCAAAGGTGAGAGAGCAGCGAGAGCAGCGGCAGAGTCAGGGTGGACGATGAAGGCTCATTGCCGTCAGCGAGAAGAGAGTGCAGACCAAATTCAATTCAAAATTGAAATTCGAGAGTTTTAGGGTCAAATTGAAATGCACGGTATTTACTATTGAGAATTACTCTGGTAAAATACATGTATTTTATCCAAATTTAATTACATTTTATTTCGGTAAAAACAAACAGTAAAATTGAATTTGAGCACTTCAAATTCAAATACACATTGTCAAATTCAAGTTGCCGAACAAAGCATAACTGTTTTTTTTTTTTTTTTATATAAGGGTAATGATTAAGAAGTTAGTATGAATTAATTATTAGCAATTGGTTCTCAAATCGGGTGAACATTCCATCCCTTCAAATGAGGCGCGCGGCTATTATGTCGCTTTTTGGTGGAGTTCACGATGATGGTGAAATTCAAAACTTCAACCACCTCAACCAAACACTTAAAGTTTGGGATCAAACCATTAAACGTAAAAGATAAGTT